TTTCATTTCCTCCCGCCCCCACCCAATCCATGCAGGGTCCTTTTTTTTCATTTCATACAGCCCCCACCCAATCCATGCAGGGCCATAATACAGCCCCCACCCAATCCATGCAGGGCCATAATACAGCCTGGGCTCCAATACATTCAGGGACGTGGCCAGAAGATTTGACTACTGTCAATGCCATGAATTGATTCTTTGATGAAGACCGGTGACATTGCGAACGGATTCTTCCAAAGGGTGAACCTTTCTTTCCTTTACGAGGGAAAAAAAAATGTTGTAAAAGAAACTATTATATGAAGGGCTCAAGGGAACAACCAGTGAGGTCAGGATTTGACACTTTTGAGTAAAACTGAAAATAAAGTTTGAAGTCTTCTCAGGCAAGTTTAACAATGTCAAGATGTCTAAGTTTTGGGTCCAGAGCAAGAATAGCCTTATCTAATCAATACCAGATATAAAAAAAAAATGTTTAAAAAAATATTAGAATCGCAATTATATTTATTGTTTTCTACATGTTGGAAATAAAGAAAGATTTTTAAATTAAGATTTAGAATATATATATATATATATATTGAAAAGGGCCACATAATTGAAAGTCACTGATGAGATAAGGGACATGAATTTCTTGCCATCTTAATATAAATTATGTTTTAAAGTAAGATGTTTAGAAAAGATCACAGTCTCCTCACTTGTGTGTTGTTGATGTGTACATAATCATGTGGGATAATATATAGGATTGGTGCAAGTTTTTCAGTTTCATATGTGGAATGATCCATGCAAGAATTCTAGATTTGTAATGTTGAATGATCCATGCAAGAATTCTAGATTTCTAATATGGAATGATCCATGCAAGAATTCTACATTTGTAATGTGGAATGATCCATGCAAGAATTCTAGATTTGTAAAGTGGAATGATCCATGCAAGAATTCTAGATTTGTAAAGTGGAATGATCTGTGCAAGAATTCTAGAATTGTAATGTTGAATGATCCATGCAAGAATTCTAGATTTGTAATGTTGAATGATCCATGCAAGAATTCTAGATTTGTAATGTGGAATGATCCATGCAAGTGTTCTAGATTTTTAATGTGGAATGATCCATGCAAGAATTCTAGATTTGTGATATGGAATGATCCATGCAAGTATTCTAGATTTTTAATGTGGAATGATCCATGCAAGAATTCTAGATTTGTGATATGGAATGATCCATGCAAGTATTCTAGATTTGTAATGTGGAATGACCCGTGCAAGTATTCTAGATTTGTAATGTGGAATGATCAATGCAAGAATTCTGGAATTTGTAATGCTGAATGATCCATGAAAGTATTTTAGATGGTAATGTTGAATGATCCATGTAAATTTTTATAAATTCATACCGTGGAATGATCCATGCAATAATTCTAGATTTGTAATGTTGAATGATTAATATTGAGACCAAACCTGACTTGATGCACATTTATGTTATAGATAATTAATGTTGGTTCTTGCATGACAGATGTGTACATGGTATGATCGTGCATGACAGAGCTGTACATAGTGTGCGGTACTATTTAAATCTTATACCAAAGAGAAACCGAGTCCAGCATGAAAACCGAAAGCCAAAGGGACATAACTGAACTATTGCCATATACATAATTGTCATTACCCTACCAATGGATTACCTCTCTTTTAATCTTGGCACCGGCTTGGGTTTAAAATCAGATTGGTAACCAGAGGAAAATGAGCCTGAGTTTGACCAATCCCATCACGTCGTTGATTAACTTGGGATGCCGGCTTAAGCACTAGCATAGCTCGTAAAACGCACACCTGATGCATGTACGGGGGGCCGGGGGGGGGCATACCTGCCAGGTGCAGTACTGGTTAATGGTGCTGGGGCAAGTTAATGGTGCTGGGGCAAGTTAATGGTGCTGGGGAAAGTTAATGGTGCTGGGGCAAGTTAATGGTGCTGGGGCAAGTTAATGGTGCTGGGGCAAGTTAATGGTGCTGGGGCAAGTTAATGGTGCTGGGGCAAGTTAATGGTGCTGGGGCAAGTTAATGGTGCTGGGGCAAGTTAATGGTGCTGGGGCAAG